ACTGGCGGGCAAACAGGGAAGGTAGAGGGTCTACTCGTCACTCCTCACCATACAACCCCCCCAAGACTGATCGTGATGAGGGGACAAAATGACCTGCTCACACCTCAGTCGAGGATAACGCCTAGGGAGGCGTTAAAAAACTGTAAATACTTATTTTTCTCCTTACACTCTTCTCTAAAACCCTTCACCCATCGGTTCACTAGTGATGCCACTTACTTCATCAACCCACACCAGGGCAGCTACTCATTTAGCGTTAGCCCAACAACAGACAATGGGTGACTCACTCAAGCTACTCTCGCTGAATGTAAAAGGCCTTAACAGCCCCCACAAACGTAGGATGACTGCTTGCGAAATTTTAAAAACACAAGCGGCAATAGTCTGCTTACAGGAGACACACTTTCGCAAACGTACTCCACCCAAATTCCAGATAAAGCACTATACCCAGGAATTTCATGCCATGGCCAACACAAAATCCAAGGGAGTATCGATTTACTTCCACAGAGACTGGGCATTCTCCCTCACCAAACAATACACAGGCAAAGATGGGAGGCTACTGATACTAGTGGGGTCCCTAAACGGCCTCCAGATAACGGTGGCATCTCTGTATGCCCCGAATGACTCTCAGAAATCCTTCCTGACCACGGCCTTCCAGAAAATAGATCGGTACAAGCAGGGCCACACACTGATCTGTGGAGACTTTAATTGCTCACCAGACCCGCACATGGACATGTGCAGAACGAACTATAAAACACCAAAGAGCAGATCGATCTCCCTGGGAACCCACCTTTCCAGCCTACTACACGCTCATGACTATTATGACGTGTGGCGTAATCTATACCCCACAGATAGGGATTACACATTCTATTCACAACCTCACATGACATATTCCAGAATAGACCTGTGCCTTTTTGACAAACGCACCATATCACATGCGCTTAAAGCGCAGATTGGGCCCATCACCTGGTCAGACCACGCACCCATTATAATCACAATGAAAACACCCCACCCCGCTAGAGGAAGAGGCACATGGAAACTAAATGAAGCATTATTGGACACCCCCAAGCACCTCAAGGCCCTTGTCACCCATCTAAACCACTACTTCTCAGATCATGAACACTGCACGACACCACTGACGACCCAATGGGAAGCGCACAAAGCGGTCATGCGCGGACACCTTGTGCAAATTGGTTCCCTAACAAAGAAACATCATCAAAACGCACAGCTGGGCATGGAGCGGGAAATTTCCACGCTTGAAACATAACACAAAGCCAACCCAACTAAACGTACTCATACACAACTAACGTCCCTAAGAGCAAAATTAGGAGCAGAACAGTTAAAAATAACTGAGAGGCACATGCGCTACCTTGAGCAAACTTACTACATGACAGGGAACAAAGCGGGCAAACGCTTAGCTAACAAACTAAAACAGAAATATATACAATCCAAAATACCATACCTCACCTCCTCACTAGGGACGAAACTTTACCATCCCCAAGACATAGTAAATGAACTCGCGCACTACTACGAAAACCTATACCAACTGGATAGGGACCCGGGGACACATCAACCCACCAGGGTGGAAATTGAGCAATTCATAGCGCAAGCAACCCTCCCCCGTCTGTCACCAGCCCAAGCGGAATCACTCAAACAACCGTTCACTGAGGAAGAAGTAGAATTGGCGATACGTACGCTCCCTAAGCATAAAGCACCCAGCCCAGACGGCCTGTCCAATTACTACTACATAAAGCTAGCGCCACAACTCACTCCCCACCTAACAACGCTATTTAATTCCATAAAAAACTCAGGCGACATACCACGGGACATGTTGGGAGCATACATTGTTACCCTACCTAAACCCAACAAAACACCCACGATGTGCGCCAATTTACGGCCAATCTCCCTCCTCAATGCGGATGTAAAACTGTACGCAAAACTAGTGGCGGCGAGGCTTCGGCCCCTGTTGTCAACACTAATCTCCGCGGAGCAGGCGGGATTTGTACCTGGAAGACAGGTTGGGGATAACACCAGACAGTTTCTAAATATCATAGATTGGGCCAACCAGTCCTCCCAAAAGGGGCTGCTCCTCGCCTTAGATGCAGAAAAGGCATTTGACCGCCTGCACTGGGGCTACATGGAGAGTACCCTAGCGGCCATGAATATCCCCCCCGAGTTCATCCGTAGCATATTGTCGCTCTACCACCGACCCTTCGCTAAAGTCTTCAATACAGGCTTCCTTTCGAACCCCTTCGACATCCTCAACGGCACACGCCAAGGCTGCCCATTATCCCCGCTCATATTCATACTGTGCCTAGAGCCATTAGTACGACTGATTAAGCAGAATGAGCATATCAAAGGGTTGAACACACCAGGGGGTACAAAGAAGCTAGCGCTCTTTGCAGATGATATACTTCTCTTTCTTACAGAACCAGACACCTCCATCCCGGAGTTACTGACACTCCTAGGAAGATATGGTCAAACTTCTTACTATAAAAATAACATCACCAAAACCCAGGCTCTTCCCATAAATCTTCCACAAAAGGAGGTGTTCGAGCTAATAAAACAGCATCAGTTTGATTGGCGACGGGATAACTTAACCTACCTAGGAATAAAATTAACCAAATCCCTCCAAACAATCCAGAAAGAGAACCACTACCCCTTGCTGCACAAGATAAAAGGGACATTAGAGAAATGGGCTGACCTAGAGGTGTCCTGGCTGGGGCGCATCAATACGCTCAAAATGATGGTACTGCCCTTGATCATATACTTATTCCGCACACTCCCCATAGCGCTGCCAAACAAACTAATAACCATGTTCCAATTTACGATAAACGGGCACATCTGGAAGAGGAAACCACCTCGAGTGGCGCAAAATAGCATGGGACTTCCCTATGACGGGAGGATTAGGCCTCCCCATCATAAGGGGTTATTATAGGCCTACAACATTAGCCCAAAGCATCCGATTATTACAACCAAAAAATGCCGGCTTTCAACCATTGTGGCTGGAACTAGAAAACGCCTGCCTGCGGCCATATGACCTGACCCACTCTCTGTGGACACATTCTTATCCCCTGCCAACAACTAAACCCAAGCTACGTTGCACTGAATTCCAAATACGGTCCTGGGTGTCCTGGGGTAAACACATAGTGGGAACAGCAACATTACTTAGATCCGCACCAGTGGAAACGCTGGGGGCTCTATCAACCGACCTGTCACTGAAAACGTGGGCTGACAAAGGTATAGCCCGGGTGGGAGATCTATGCGAAGGCTCAGAAATCATACCGTTCCCCACGCTTCAACAGAAATACTCATTATGCACGAGGGACATGTTCTTATACCTAAGAGTGAAAAGCGTCCTTCTCACGGCATTAAATAGGGGGCTGGACCCGAATCCCCAGGGGGCACTACAACCGCAACAAATACTATCACACACGTGCACGAAGCCCTTAGCCCTATGCTACGGCACCATCCTCCAAGGCCCTACTGCAGGGAAACTCTCCTATATGACCAAATGGGAGGAGGAACTGGGAACCTCGATTCCCTTAGCACAATGGTACGAGGCGCTGCGCAACACTAAACGCGCATCGAGCAGCCTGTCGCTGTGGGAAGCATATTGTAAAATAATGATGCGTTGGTACTTGGTACCGCACAGGCTGTCGCGCATCTACGCGGATGCACCTGCGAACTGCTGGAGATGTGAGGAAAGTAGAGGTACGATGCTACATGTATTCTGGGATTGCCCTGCCCTAGGGGAGTACTGGGATAAAGTGGGCACACTGATACATACCATAACACACTGCACAATCCCCAAAGATGCAAAAGGATACCTTCTACACATAGCCCCTGATTTAGCGCACCACGCAAATCGAACAGTGGCACTAAATATCCTTACCGTGGCAAAAATCAATATAGCCTCCCATTGGAAAAGTAAGAATGTATCAACAATGGAAAATATATGCCAAAGAATAGACACGATCTGCTCTTACGAACGAATGGCAGGCAGGGTACAGGGTAATGAACACAGAAGGGAGCGGGAGTGGGAATGCTGGTCCTCAAGGGAAGGAGAATGAGACATAAGATAAGATGACTCTAGGAACAATCGTAGCGGCACGACTGAGCAGGACATCCTAACAGTATGTAACACACTTGCTGGCAGTTGACGACAAGGTCTTTAAAAAAGTAGCGAAGTCGAGGAGATTATGCAACATAGCCGCAGACTAGCAGGGAGCAAAACCCCTGAGCAGGGAGCAAGCTGATAGAAACGCAAATAGCAAAGCTATAAAAGCTGTATAATTTGACGACTGCGTATGGCAATAGCAACGTGCTTAAAACACTGTTGGTACGCAGAGTCCAATGAAGGTTATTACAAACTCGACCATGAACATAAATTTTATAACCCCAACGTTATCTTACAACCTCAACGTTATGGAATGTATGCGCTCTGTATATGTGCTATGCGCTCTGTAAATGTATATGCATCACAGTGAACTGTACCCCCCCCTCTCATTATGATTTCCCCCACCTCCTTTTTTTTTCCTTTCTGTATCCACACTACCGTTTAATTGTCATGATGTATAAAAACAATAAAAAACAGATATTTCAAAAAAAAAAGAAGGGAAGCTATAAGGCTTGGTGTCTGACTGGGTTTGTGGTGTAACAGAAGGTAAGAGAAAACAGGCTGTTAATCAGATAGATCACTGTGTAACATGCTAGACAGTGAGAGGATAGGTTGCAACAGAATAGCATAGGAGTGTGTCCAAGGTCGTTTGCCAGGCAGCACTGTTAGTCTAAATAAACATAGTTTGTAAGCATTACAGAGAAGAAGAGGGTCTACCTGTGTAACAAGAGATAACTGGATTGTTTAATACATGAGTGTCATCTTATTTTGTGGGTACCGCAAGCATTGCATGCGTATGGTGGGAGGCTGCAGATACATAATAGCCAGAGTCCATTTAGCCTTGTGTGGGGGCCCCTCCAGTCACAGGTACTGCTGCACTTCTGTGTTATTCTGCTCGGGCTCCGATACAGACCTTCACATGGCTTCTGGGTCCATTCGGTGCACGCAGCCGACAACTCTGAGTGGGAACCCTCTCCAACGGCGCGACCTGCGCATGTAGATGCGGCGCCAACCAGAGTGCTGTCCTATGAAGCTGCTGTGGAGTGGCATGTTGGGGTGTCGGCATTACCGCTTTGGCCGTTGGACCCATATCACCCTCTTCCCTTTCAAGACTCTGCGTGAGGTGCGCTTCGGGTGCTTCCTCTGGTTTTTGTTTCCAGTAGCCCAGAGCTGAGCCTGGACGTGTGGATCCATTAGTAAGGTATTCATTTGTCTGCTTGCCATCTTGGCCCAGAATTAGGCACAGATTCTGTCGAATGCTTGTAGCCATGACTCTGCTCCCATAGGCTCCTGGTGGTGAGCTTGTGTGAGGGCATCTTCTTGGAAGGCAGCCATCTTTCCTGGTAGGCCGCAGTCTCCAGCGTTGCGAATGATTGGTAAAGTCCACAGGAGTAAGTCAGGGGGCTCCGCCCAAGACAGAGGCACTTTAAACCCCATGAAACAGAGAATTCTATCTACCCCCAAGTTGGGGTCCTTTCCCTGTCTTACTACAATTCCTGCAATAATATCATCAATGGGATACCTATACACCCTAGATAAGGTAGTAAGTTCATGATTAAGAACTTCAATACCTGCAAGTAAAGTTGTGTGCTTTATCTATTAAAATGCTGCTGCAGCCTCATCTATGTTGGTGAAACTACTATGCGCATGAAAAGTCTTAGCCACCAAAAATCCACCATACGCACCAAAAAACGTGCACCAGCCTGGCCTTGAACACTTTATTAATTGTCAACATTCAATTTCACAGATTTGTTTTCAAATTGATTTAGTGGACATTCCTCACAGAGGCGGTGATAGATGTAAAGCACTGCTGAGGAGAGAACAATGTTGAATTTGGTGGAACCTAAAGGACATAATAGAAAGTGTGACCTGCATCATTTCTTGTGTAGCTGTTTTTGTACCCCTTGGTTATTTATTTTTGCATATTCTGACCAGTTTTTAGGATGCTTTGCCAAGTATTTGTTGTACCGGTGTTGTTTTTTTTTTTCTTTTCTGATGGGGTACTATTTATGTATTTATTTTGTATTACTTAATTGAATTATTTTTTTTAAACCTTTTTTGCTATTTCTATTTAGAGGTATTTTGTATTCACTCCTATACCTTGTCTCTCCTTCTTGTTACTTAGTTTGCTAAAGACAGTGAGAATTTTAGCTCCATTAACATGCTTTCCTTTTTTTTTTTTTTTTTTCTCATTTCATTATCTATCCCGCCTTGTTGGCAGCACCCACATATGTGACAGACAGCCGTTTCTACATATTTAGTAGTTGTGAGGTTCTTCCCTCTATGGCTTGTCTGCAGATCCCGCCTTGGAGGAGGGTCACGCATTTGCTGATAGTGCCATGTACTCAAGCCTAGTGAGCCGCTTAAACTGGGCCTGCTGATTTTTCTTGTGGTCACAGATCAGGTATTTTCATTTTTAATTTTCTTTGCCTTTGGTTAAAAGCTAAATGGACATATTTTTGCTTGCTTTGCTCCTTTAAGTTTCCCTATTATAGTGAGTGTAGGGTCCCCTGAAAGATGTTGCCTGTGTTGTTACCCTCTGCTTTACGGTACATATGCTCTGTGCTTTTGACATAATCGTTGCTTATTTATTCTGTTTTTATTTTTATTCCCCTTATAGTTGCATTGTTTACTCTCTTAGTTTTGCATTATGACTACTTTAGTCTATTGATGCTGTTTTTCCCCCCTCTGTTGTTTGGTTTACATCATGTGCCCCTTCCCCTCATATGTTACTCTTTTCTAGTCAGATGACCTAATTTTGACATGTCAACTCAGTTGGAACCTTAATTCTATTGACCTCCAGCAGCTGTCAGCTGATATTGATGCACAACTTTACCCATATGTCTCACTTCCTTAATTCCAACTCTCCCCTTGACCTTCTTCAATCTGGCTTCCACACTCTCCACTCTACTGAGACTGCTCTTATCAAAGTTACTAACTACCTTATCACCACTAAATCCAAAGGCCACTACTCCATACTAATTCTTCTTGACCTCTCTACTGCCTTTGACACAACTGATCATGCTTTCCTTCTTCAAACTCTTCAATCATTCGGTCTCTGTGACTCTGTCCTCTCGTGGTTTTCCTCTTATCTCTCCTAACACTCAGTGTCTCCTTTTCTAATGATACCTCCTGCCCTCGTCCTGTTTCGGTTCGAGTCCCCCAAGGCTCTGTCCTTGGTCCCCTTCTATTTTCTCTTTATAATGCCTCTCTTGGCCTCTATTAGCTCATTTGGGTTCCACTACCACTTGTACGCTGATGACACAGAGATATATCTCTAATCCCTGGACCTCTCCCCTGCCGCCATGCAACATGTCACTGCTTTCCTTTCTTCCATCTCTGACTGGATGTCCTCTCGCTTTCTGAAACTCAATCTCTCTAAAACAGAGCTCCTTGTCTTTCTTCCTCCTAATACTGATTAATCCTCTTTAGCTCTCCCTTCAAGTTAGTGTCATCCACATAAGTCCATCCTTGCAAGCGCGCTGTCTTGGCGTCATATTTGATTCTGGCCTCACCTTTGAGCCTCACATCCAGTATGTTGCCAAATCCTGTAGATTCCATCTTAAAAACATAGCCCGCATCCGCCCCTTTCTTACGCAAGACGCTACCAAAGAGCTTGTCCATGCGGTCCTCTCACACCTCACCCCTCTGTCAGTCCTTACATTGGCTTCCTGTATCCTATAGGAGTCAATTCAAAGTGCAAACCCATACCTATAAAGCACTGAACAATTCTAGCCTCTCATATCTCTTCACAGATCCATAGGTATGCCCCTTCTCGGTCTCTCCAGTCTGCGCATGACCTTCTCCTGTCAGCTGCTTGCACCCGTACGGCCAACTCACGCTTGCAGGACTTCTTGCGCGCGGCTCCCTTCCTATGGAATAGCCTGCCTACCGCCATCAGACTCTCCCCTAGTCTTGCATCTTTTAAGAAGTGCCTTAAAACCCTTATGGCCTACCAGAGTAACCTCTACCTCACATACCTGTCTCTTGCTCTCTCCTAAAGGGCAGCACTTTACTCTGTCCTCCAGCTCTGCTTCACTTCCACCTTATTTGATTATTTCCTGTCTTTATGTTTTTTATACCCCACCTCCTATAGATTGTAAGCTAGTGTGAGCAGGGTCCTCTTCAACCTATCGTTCCTGTAATTGTCCTATTTATAGTTAAATCCCCCCCCCCCATAATATTGTAAAGTGCTACGGAATCTGTTGGCACTATATAATTGGCAATAATAGTAATGTTTTGTGCAGGATTTACTTACAGCACAGGTATAACTATTGTTTTTTGTCTAGTACTCTGTATACAGGATTAAGGCTTGACACTGAAACATTGTATATCATTTTGTTCTCCTGATCCTGAATAAAAAGCCTTCCTATTTGCACTACTTTGGCCACAGAAGAGTCTGCAGATGGACCATTGTTTGCCAACAGAAGAGTCTCCAATTGGGACATGTGCCGCGGAAATCGTGGTGCCAAACACATTGATAGATTTGTAAGATTTACCATGATTGAAAAGTGACGGTAAAAAATTCATTGTTGGAGAAGTTGAAATAGGCCAATATCCCTTTTCACACAACAGATATACCATGAAGTTTGGTAGAAACATCATGTTGCAAGAGCCGATGAATCCAATAGCAATCTTGGAGCCGAATTAGAAAGTCCTGAGACATTCCAGGATCCTCTGAATCGGTTTACCCTGAAATGCAAGAGGGTAAAGGGGGAGGCACAAAAGGGGGAGGGGTGACCCTGTATGTGAAGGATAGCATACAATCTAGCCTAGTAAAAGTTAGTATGGTGAACATAGTCGGTTTGGGTTACATTGGAATTTGGTAATCACACAGTTACTCGTATAGTTGTGAATTATAGGCCCCCAGGACAAATAGAAGAGTTAGATAATCTACTAGTTGAGGAAATAGTTAAAATGACAATGAAGGGGGGAAGGAGTCATCATGGGTGACTTTAATCTTCCTGATGTGAACTGGGAAAACTAAAATAGCTGCTTGTGCCAAAAGCACACATATTCTAAACTCCCTATTGGGATTGTCTCCAAAACAAGTTGTTGAGGAGCCAACTCGTAAAGAGGCCATACTAGATTTCGTGTTAACAAATAGAGATTTGGTATCACATATTACTGTAGGTGAAAGTTTAGGATCCAGTGATCATCAGTCAGTGTGGTTTAATATAAGAACAGTGACTGAGTCACACCACACAAAAACAAAAGTTTTAGACTTTAGAAAAACAGACTTTTCTAAAATTAGAATATGTGTAAAGGAGTCATTATCTGACTGGAACAATTTAAATGAAGTCCAAGAGAAATGGGATTATTTAAAAGTTGCACTGCTGAAGGCAACAGAAGCAAAAAATTCAAGAAACCACTGTGGTACTCCACAGATGTGGCCAAAATAGTAAAAATAAATAAAAGATAGCATTTAGTAATTATAAAAAAACAGAGTGAGGAAGATAGACAAATCTATAAGATTAGGCAGAAAGAGGCCAAGCAAGTTATAAGAGCTTCCAAATCACACACAGAAGAGAGAATAGCACAGTCCGCAAAAAAAGGACAAAACATTTTTTAGATACATAAATAAAAAAAGGAAAGGAAAACAAGGATTAGTTAGATTAAAACCAAAAGAAGAAAGGCATGTAGAAGAGGATAAAGGTCTAGCTGACTGCCTCAATGAATATTTTTGTTCCGTATTTACAGATGAAAATGAAGGAAAGGGGCCTCAGTTAGGAAAATGGACAAATGAGTAATTTGTTACATGTGAGTTTACAGAGTGAGAGGTTCTATTTCAACTGTCAAAAGTAGAGACAAACAAGGCAATGGGACCTGATGGAATACACCCATAGTTATTAAAAGAGCTTAGTGGTGTACTAGCAAAACCATTAACAGATTTATTTAACCAATCATTGTTAACAGGAGTAGTCCCAGAAGATTGGAAGTTGGCGAATTTTGTGCCCATTCACAAGAAAGGTAGTAGGGAGGAGTCGGGTAACTATAGACCTGTAAGCCTTACTTCAGTAGTGGGGAAAGTAATGGAAACCATGTTAAAAGATAGGATTGTTGAACATCTAAAATCACATGTATTTCATGATCAGAGACCACATGGGTTAACTTCAGGGAGATCATGCCAAACTAATCTTATTGATTTTTTTAATTGGGTAACTAAAATAATAGATCAGGGTGGTGCAGTAGAAATTGCTTACCTAGATTTCAGGAAAGCTTTTGACATGGTTGCACATAAAAGGCTTATCAATAAACTGCAGGAAATGC